TTTCAGCGGTGATTTTTGTGGGTATGTGGGGGGGGGGGTGAATTTATATGCAAATTTCGAGCGACTTTTTTTTTTCTTTTCCTTGGATGAAATGTGGATCAAATTGGATGGTATAACATGCATGTTTTTTCATATAGTAAAACAGGGGATGGTGGTTTAAAGAAGCAGTAGGACAAATGTTAGTCCATTCTAGGTCGACTATGAATTTCTCCATGGTTATCTCTATCTTGCTTTTATTATTGTTCTATATATATATATATTTAAAATTATAAAGTTCGATAGAAGAAGATTTCAATGTCGTCATGTGTTCATGCGCAGAGACTTTTTGCATCTTTTCATTCACATTGGCCCGTCTTCTATTTACTAGATAACGAGTTACAATTTTTTGTACCACCATTCTAAAAAAAAAATTATCTGAAATTCCTAAATCAAAATTCGTATCCTTGCTTCATTTTTTTTATAAATATGATAGTTTTAACCCTCTTAAAAACTTTTTATCTCATGTATTTATCTCACGTGATTAACCAAATTTGTAAACAGTTTATGAAGGTCCTATATAATTTTCCTACACAACGAAGGTTCAAAAATTTTGGCCCTTGAAATCCGTTCGTTTTTATAAATGGGCCGCATTTGTAAACTGAAAGGCATGGCCGAAAACAATGAAATTGCAAGCCCATGATGTACAAAAATTGGCCCAACAAGCCCATGGCATTTGCTTGCATGCACAAAGACCAATATGTATGTATTCTTCTGATTATTCCCTTAAAACAGTAAATTAAACCCACGTTTAATTCGCTTCTTTGAGCAGTTAATACATCCATCATTCATTTAATCGAATATGATATTCTTTAATCAGATTCCCCCTCAACCGTATTTAAAATATGATATCCATTGTGGAGATTCCATTCAAAAGTTCCCGACGGAGGATTCTGATTCTTCTTTTAATACAAAAACCTCTGAGATTTGTTTTTTTAATAGAAATATCAATACAACAAACTTTAGGAATGTTTAGATATGTTTTGAAAATATAATTATTTTTCATATTTTTATAACAAAACACGTGGTGCGTTTTCAGATTCATGAATGAAAACAGTCATCTAGCGTATCCAGCCGCAAAAAGCTGCCTATAAAAGCCTCTAACCCTCTCGCCTTTAAGGTTCAAAGCAAGGAGCAGATCTTCCTCTTCCACACTCAATTCACGAGTCTCAGCTTCTTTCTTTCTTCTCTTACAACCTTAAACTTCCGACCAGACCATATGGGAGCTAACGTTTCTTCTTCGGCTGACCAGAGAAACCAGGTCGCCGATCTCCGAGCCAAGAAGCAGCTGAGGAGGACTCCTTCCGGGCCTAGGGTTTCTCCTTTCGTCCAGGACAATCCACGAGTCACTGAAATCAAGAGCAAGGACCAGTGGAAAGCTCGGTTCAATGCTCTAAAAGACAGCGACAAGCTTGTAACTGCACTTCCCTAGCTCGGTTTCTATGTTGTTATTAGAGAGGAAACATCGTCGTCTGACAAAATCTAAGTCATTTCCTTTATGTGTTCATAGCTGGTTATTGACTTCACGGCCAAATGGTGTGGACCTTGCAACTCCATTGAGCCCAAGATTGAAGAGTTTGCTGCCATATATACCAATGTCGAGTTCGTGAAGATTGACGTTGATGCGCTAATGGTAGATACTATGATCATCAAATTAAACGTCGGTCCATGATTCATTTTTCACTTTTGAATGATTTCTAAGATGTTTTTTTTTTTGTGGGTAGGGTTTGTCGATGAAATTCAACGTGAACACGTTGCCGGCGATGGTGTTCATGAAGAGAGGCCAAGAATTGGACCGAGTCGTGGGTGTGAATGTGGATGAACTTCGTAGCAAGATCGAGAAATACATGCAACCTTCTTACTGAAACAGCGGGTTTCACGCCCGACCAAACTAGCAAAGGTTTTGCCTGCTTGTTTTGTAACCCATCATGGGAAATAAAAATGTAATGATATAAGCATGCGAATGCATAGATACCTATGAAAGGAATATTAATACATTTATAAAAAATATACCAACAAAACTGATACTCCAATTATTTGATCGGTGGAAATAATCAGACCATCATTTATGACAGAGACCCACAAAGTCAAAACGTTTATTGCCAATACGAATGTAATTAATTAATGGATCAACGTTTTCATCATCATTTTAACCATGATTTCAATTGCAAAGATTGATAAAAAATATCTGAAAAAATGATAGCAGCATTTGAAAACTGAAAGATATCGTATCAATTACCAAAGCTTTCGTCGGTACAATCAATGGCTTGGGAATAGAAACGCCAACCTCTCTATCTGATTTTTTTTTTTTTTTTTGAAATCTTGGCGCAAAATCTTGACCAACCTAGATATATATTTTTTTTATAAAAAATAATTATATTATTAGTCCCTATAACTAAAATTGAATTGAAGAAAAAATTATGAACAAAACTCGAGAGATAACTCCTTCTTCTTCCTCCTCCTCCTATTCTAACCACGTTCGGTCATCACCGAGCTGCAAAAAAAAAAAAAAAAGAAACACTTCCAGATTCAGATCTGCTACTTCTTCTTACATGGCCATAGCAATGGCGTATCTTCACCGCTTCAGAGCTTCCCTTTAGCGGTTCTTCTACTGTGCTCTATTTTCGCCATTGTTGAAGCTGCTTCTTCTTCTTATGGAGGTGACACGTGTCCTCCTTCTTCATCTTCTTCCTTTCCTTCGCATTGTCCTCCCTTCAATTCATCTCCTCCATTCCCATTCTCTTCTTCGCCGGGTTGTGGCCACCCGAACTTCCAGATCCATTGCGTGTCTCCACGCGCCACCGTCTCCATCAATAACCTCTCTTTCTCTCTTCTTCGCTACGACGCCGTTTCCAACACTCTCCTTCTCTCTCCTGTGTCTCCTCCGCCTCATAGCCCGAACCGGAGCAGCTGCTCTTCTCACCGGTTCACCTCCGTACCGGACCGGGTCATCGATCTCACCGGCTCCCCGTTCCGAGTCTCCGACTCTTCCTGCTCCCGTCTCTCGCTTCTCCGACCGTGCTCGCGGTTGATTCTCCCGAAATGTAGCCATTGTCCTTGGGACTGCAAGCTCTTGGAGAATCCCGGTCTGATCCTCCAGGGGTGCGAACACGCCAGCGGGTCGTCGTCATTGTCCGAACAAGGATGTCAGGGAGATATCTTTGGGTTTCTGGATGATTTTTTCTCCAGATTTGGGTTTGAAGTCGAATGGGACGAATCTCAGGACCCGTATTTCGTGAAATGCAGAGCTTGCAGGGCCAAGAATGGAGTTTGCGGGTTCAATTCATCCGACCCAGACAAGGGCTTCCTCTGTTTTCAAGCAAGATCCGAACTTTCACCGATCTGGGTTTCTCGTGACAAACGAGTCGATCATGTCGCAGTGTTGTGTTTGATCTTTGCGCTGACATGCCTGCTGATGGCCATTTCTGTCAGCATTGCGATTTTCCGATCACGGAGTTCGAGTTTGTCCTCCGCAAACGAAGAAGACCCGGCGGCTCTGTTCCTCCGCCGCCATCGCTTCGCCAGTCTCCTCCCTCCGGTCTTCACCTACGAAGAGCTCGAATCGGCCACCAACAAGTTCGACCCGAAGCGCAAGATCGGAGACGGCGGGTTCGGGTCGGTTTACTTGGGTCACCTCCACGATGGCCAACTCGTTGCCGTGAAACACCTCCACCACCATGGAAAGGCCTTCTCCATGAAATCCTTCTGCAACGAGATCCTGATCCTCTCCTCCATCAATCACCCGAATCTCGTCAAGCTCCATGGTTACTGCTCTGACCCGAGAGGTCTCCTTCTCGTCTACGATTACGTCCCCAACGGCACACTCGCCGACCATCTCCACGGCCGGACAGGTTTATGCCGGAAAATGACGCTGACGTGGCAACTCCGCCTCGACATCGCTCTGCAAACGGCTCTGGCTTTGGAGTATCTTCACTTCGCCGTCGCTCCTCCGGTGGTTCATAGAGACATCACGTCGTCGAACATATTCGTGGAGAAGGACATGATGATCAAAGTCGGAGACTTTGGGTTGTCTAGGGTTATGGCCTTGTCGGAGACGACGGTGGCCACGTCAGCATCGTCATCGGATTACGTGTGCACGGGCCCACAGGGGACGCCGGGATACTTGGACCCTGACTACCACCGGTCGTTCCGGTTAACGGAGAAAAGCGACGTGTACAGCTACGGCGTCGTATTGATGGAGCTGATGACGGGGATGAAGGCGGTGGACCAATGCCGTGAGAAGCCGGAGATGGCGCTGGCGGATCTTGTCGTGTCAAAGATCCAAATGGGTCTTCTCGACCAGGTTGTCGACCCACTTCTTGTTCAGATGTCCGACGGCAACGGTGGCGGAGTTGCGGCGGTGGCGGAGCTGGCTTTCCGGTGCGTGGCGGCAGACAAGGACGACCGTCCCGACTCGAGGGAGATTGTGGCGCAGCTGAGGAGGATTGTGAGCCGTACACGTGGTGATGACGTGGCGAAAGGTTGACAGTTTGATTAGATTTTGGACGATGATGTGATAGGGAGGGTGACGTCATGCTTGGCCACACGTGGAAACTCTGATAGTACTGAAACTGAGACAGAGTCGGATGTTTTAATCGTGAAGGATGGCAAAAGTTTCAGACACCGTTTTCAATACAGAATATCTTGTCTTCGACAACCATGAAAATTATTTTTATTTTTGTATAAGTGTATTTCTCCTTATTATATAATAATAATATACCATCTAGGAATGATATATATATATATATATATATATATATATATATGTGTGAAAACAAACATGGACCATGTTCAAGCAGTAGACTTGAAATGATAAGCTTCCAATTCCATCGCTTTCCCCGCAGCACTCTGAGCTTCTTGACTGCCTTCCATGGCGTAACTCTTCTCCTACCACAGTTTTAGTCACATATCAACATTTATACATTTCCTATGAATAAATATTCGAAATATGAGTATGAATACCAGCAAACGCCATGTGAAGGGAACACCATCTCTGTTCTCTAACCTCTTCTTGATCACTTCCATGGCTGTTTTGTCAGAATGTCCGAAACGAACACAGTTAACATAAGAGAGAGCAAAATCTAAACAAAACAAAGTTTGGAAAGAGCACGAGAGCTTCTTGGACTGCACCAGTGGAGGATTGCCCGTTCAGTATCAAAGCTTTGCACCAAATTTCACCGAAAACATCTATCTGTTCATCCGATGCCCCGATGATCTAACCATTAAAAGAAGAAGCTTTAGTTGTTCTTTGATCTAGAAACATTTCTGATCATCGGGAAGACGATTATCTATGTATTATTTACCTTGTAATCGATGGCATCGAAATCTGGACCGAGCAGTTCTAGAGTTTGCTTGTAGTTACCCCTAGCGTATTCGTAAACAGCTTCTCCGAGCTGGATTTGATTTCATTTCAAACCCGGGAAAAACAAATAAAACCTGAAGATGTTGAGAGAGAATTTGCGAGATCTCGAATCTAAAGATTAGGTCAGTATGAACAAACCCGAATTCCTTTCTGCATCAGCTTGCGTTTCTTTTTGTTCATCCGGGATGTTCTGGAAGAGTAAAAGGAGTTCAGTAAGCGATAAAAGAGATGAAATTTCCTTCTGGCAAGAATGAGAGAACTAGAAGGGTATTGTTACAAACCGGAATTTCAGACCGTCGAGTAACTTCTGAGCTTTTGATGTCTCTCCGACCTTAGTTAAGGCCCAGATGGTTAAAATATCAAGGTGCCATTCCAAATACCAACATGCCTGAATGTTACAAAACCCCGAAAATGTCTGAAAAAGGAGAAGAAGAACAAGCACATTTGATAAAGGACAACACAAGTACATGGCTTTACCTGATCGGTCAAGCGGTCCGAAAGGATCTTCAGCCGATCTTCAAACCCATCAAGTGAATCTCGTACATCCAAACGCAATATCATGCCCAGAGCGTTCAAATATACCTGAAAAGCCCAAAAATGATAAGTTAAATGGTTGGAGAAAGTTCAATTTTTTAGGAGAAGAATGCCAAAATGGTAAAAAGAAGGTATTAGTATTATTACTTCTGGTGGAACAGCATCGGACTTCTCCAATTCTTTCCAGATGTGATGATCATATATCTCCGATACTTTACCTATCGGTGACCCTCCTTCCAAGTAACAAAGGGCAACATGCCACCAGTTGTGGGTATACCTGAAAATTTTCAAATATATTATATAGCAGAAGAGGCTTCATAATTTGCCCGAGTTTTTCAGATGGGTGGAAAATGCTTTACATGAAGGATGAGAGAGAAGCCCACGAAGCTGAGCATTCTTCCATGAATTCCACTGCTTCCTTGAAACGACATTCGTACTGAAGAACATGACATAACTGCCAAAAAAGAAAGAAAAATAATATGGACAAAGGACCGTTCTTGGTTTGGTAACGAGTGCCAGAATGAAAACCGACAGCCAAACAATGATTCTTGCGTAAGAAAAAGACGCAAAATTGTTGAACAACTCACGCAATGATGCGCCCACGAATCATTTCTGTTTATCTCATAGGCTTTCTTAGCAGCAGCCTCAGCTTCAGCCATCCTGCCGAGCTCTAACAATGGGAAAGCAAGCATACCATATGCATAGCCTTCATCCTTATTCTCAGGCAGAACCTGTCACAAATTTCCAATCACTAAAATCAATTATAAATGCACAATCTAAACAAATTAGATTATTGTTTGTTAACCATAAAACATGATATGACGCATTAATACCTCCTGAGCAAGACCCAGAAAGAGATCGGGTCGAGCACTGTAGAAGCACAAAATCTGTGCTCTCTTCAGAGCAACCAAATCTTTCGGATACTTTTTCAGAAACTGCAAAACATAATTCATAGTTACAGATGTCGACGCGAATTTGCTAGACATATTAGAAAACAGAATCTGGGAAAACCATTTCAATTAAATTTAAGAACCGTGATTACCCCAGCGTGCAACTCAAATGCCATGTCGTCGTCCCTGTCCTCGGAAATCAGGTAAGAGACAACCTCGAAAGATTTTTGCTCGTATGTTGTTGCGTGTTCCTGAGACCAATGGGTTAAAAACTCATAGATTCACAAAGCTAGAGTATAAAATGAACTAAAAAGGCACAACATAAACAAGACAATATGCCATTTTTGTTGCATATAAATTACTTCAATGCAAAAATATAAACAAAAAGAGGGAAGACAAATGGCTCACAACATAAGGTCTTGCAGCTTGAATATATGCAGAAGCTCTGGAAGGATCAGACGGGCTAATGAAATGAGCGGCCAAAATGTTGGCCAGAACGCAATGATCATCGTGAAGTGGCGCCTCCAGAATCACCTTCCTCTCCCTCCCATAACTAAGAACCTTCATCAACAGTGAAATGCTGTCAAAGTCCAAAGCAGAAATGACGGAAATGAATGATAAAGATCACATCCTCATGCGTAGAATGCACACAATCCCTGAGAAATTCCATACAGAAAGCCAGAAAAGTTGAAAACGGACTCTAAATTTTGAAGATCCAACAATCGGATCACATGGCATACAACAATAAAAATGCATATCCAATCACCCACATGATCATAATCGACAAACCCCCCAAAATTCAATACCTTTTGATGAAGGTATACACAGAATCATGAAAGTGAAACCCGTGTGAGCAATAATCAATCACATATCAAGTTATATTCAATAACTACAAGGGATAAATGATAAACATAGGCCATAATCATGAATCCTTTTGATCTATCGACTGCAGAATCATAAATGAAAAACCCCATCATTAATCAAATCTATAATTAAAAATCCTTCACAATCACCAACCCTGCAACCTGGGATCACAATTGGAAAACCCTAAACCCCTCTAACCAATCCTTTCGAGAAATTAAACCCTATAATGATTCTACCGGAGCTAAAGTTCACGAATTTACAGAACCCATGACATCAAAACGCCAAAAAGTCAGAAAAAGCCCAAAACTTCCACCAAGAAAAGCCAGTAGATAGTAAAGGAAGAGACGAACCTGGTCAAAATAGGAGTTGATGTGTTAATCTCGTATCCCCACCTTACACATCTCACTCCTTTATCCATTTCAAGAACCCGATCTTCTTCTCCTTCAATCGACGGCAATTTCTCGGATCACCGCTGTCTTCTTTCGAGGCCCGAAGTTGAGCTAATATAGAAGAGAAGATCATGAGAGACTGATTTTGGGTTTTACCCTTTTCTCCTCCTTTGGTCTTCGGCATTCAAATTCTTTCCAAAACATTAAAGTTGGTGTCTTGTCTTCACAAACGACAGGGTTCTTGACTCAAATGACCCGGTCGCATCTATTTCGGGGTTTTAACCCTAATAACCCACTTGGTCGCAGCAATTTCAGGTACACCACCGGAAAAAAAAAAATTTGTGAACTTATTACGACTAATATATAACTAATATACAACTAAAATAAGAGTAGTTTTGCGTCGTATATATGTTGTATATTAGTTATATATTAGTCGTAATAAGGTCGCAAATTTTTTTTTTTTTTCGGTGGTGTACACTGAAATTGCTGCGACCCAAGTGGGTTATTTGAGTAATATTCCCATCTATTTCAGCTATACACATAACATATTTTTTTCTCCATAAAAAGACGAAATTAACCTTAATGAATCGCGATATTTATCCGTTCAAAAATAACTTCGTTATTACGACTTCGTAATTAATTCTAAATATAGTTACAAACAAATGGCAAAAAAAATCATCCGTCTTATTTTAGTTGTATATCAGTTATATGTTAGTCGCAAAAAGATCGCAAAAAATAAAACGAAAAGGGTATTTTGGACTTTTTCAACCGAAAAGTGAGTTAAAATTGAAAAAAAAAAATTTTTTTTTGGGTGGTGTACCCTGAAATTGCTGCGACCCAAGTGGGTTATTTGGGTAATATTCCCCAAACGACATCTTCCATGTTTGGAATAAGGACGGAGAATGAATGCCCATGGTTGGTTCCCCACCTGTTAGATATTTTCTCGGTCCTTTTCCTAATTTGTCCAATTTTTTTTTTTAAAGTCTTTGTTGTATGAGGTTTTTAAAGTCATTGATTTGATTGTGAATCCATAATATATAACAGAATTGCAGTTCGTTTGATAATATATAGACTCTAAGCTTAATAATTATATAAATTTCACTATAAATTAAAATATTTTAGTTATTACATTTCTTGTAAATGTAGGTATCCAAAAGCATCAACTAGATTTTTTTATTGTTGTTTTTTCTTTATTTTTAAACAAATCTCAATAGTTTTACTAAATTTTTTAAAGCCCTGAAGAAAAAAAAACAATTTTGTTATCAATTTAATTATTTTACTGGATTTTTGTAATAATGTCATTTGGTAAGCAATTTATTACTCGTAAATGATATTGAAGAAGAACAAACTAACATCAATAAAATAGAAAGATAGATTGAAAATGGTAACAAGAACAAGAAAGAGACGTACTTTGAAAAGAAAAAAAAAAGTGAAAGAGACCAGGAAATCATTATGCATTAGTTATTGAATTTGATCTTGGCGAACTCAACGAGCTTGTCAATGGTGGGCATGTAAGGCTTGACGGCGTTATGGCGGCAGAACTTGTCGGCCCAACGGAGAAGAGACGGAGTTTTGTCTTGACGGAGGAACTGAAGGCCGGAAAACCTCTCGGCCACCCGGAGGGGTCCTAAGACGCAGCCGAAGGCAATATCTACGAGATTGACACTGTCACCTCCGAAGAAGTCTTTGCCTTTGCTGCGCTTTCCAAATTCTGTTTCGATTACATCCAAACATTCTTCCAGCTTCGTCTTCGCCACCTTTCTTCCCTCCTCGTCCTTTGCCCCTGCCAGCCCCCCGATGGCTCCTACACACTGTGATATGGTTCAAATACAAGTATTCATATCATATATATGTATGTGTGTGTATATATATATTGATTGGCCATATCAATGATAATATTGGATATATGTAAGCGGATTATAATTCTAATTATAGCTAAGATAATATTCGGGATAATATATAAAAGACACCAAAGAAAGGGAAGTATTTTGTATCCGTTCGTTGTGTGTACGAACAAAAAAAAAACTCACGTGTTCGTCGATATACTCGGCCAAGAACCGAGCCGTAGCACGGTCGAACGGGTCGGAAGGAAGAATGGGAGGATCCGAAGGCCAGACCTCGTCGATGTACTGAACTATGTTAAGGGAGCCGCACACGGGTCTGTCGCCATGGACGAGGACGGGGACGGTCTTGTAAACAGGGTTGTGTTTGAGCAGAAGCTCGCTTTTGTCGTTGAGGACATCTTTCTCTTCCAAGTAGTCGTACGTCACGGACTTGAGGTGGAGCCCGACTCGAGCCCTCAGGACGAACGGGCTCGACCACATGCCCAGCAGCTGCACGCTGTCCGACCCGGCCTGAGCCATATTGATCTGGTGAGCGTTTCCTTACGTGTTCTTGAAAGATTATAAATAGAGGGTAATCCTCTAATTTGGTTTCACAGGAATTTTATTTTTATTTTCGCACGAGTTTCAAAGATTATTGAATCGATGGTCGGTGGATCCTGAAATTTTTGACCGACAAAGACTGTTGTCACGAAAACGTGTAAGGCTAGTGCGTGCAACGTGATGAAATGATAAATAATCAAGAAATTTGAATTTTTTTAATGCTATTTTCTCTATCTGTGTCTGCAATTATTCTCTTCATGGAACCATGGCTTTTGAGGATGCGTTTAAAAGCGGCTGATATAATAAATGTAATACACAGCTGTTGGAAATTATTAAAATGCATTATTTGATGCCTTTGCCTTTTTCTTTATTCGATTGATTCTTTTTTTTTTTTTTAATGTTACAGTCCGATTCCTCTAAAGACAAATAATATATAAAAAACATAAACCCGTGACAAAAAATCCTTCATTAAATGAAACATAGGATTATGACAGCGAATCGTAACACCTTGGATTTTATTTTTGGATTTTATAGTTTTTTTTTTCACACGGTCTTCATCATAACGTTGAAAGGAGCAAAAACAGGCAATTTCTTTTTTTTTTTCTTTTTTTTGGTAAATAAAACAGGCAATTTCTCATATCATCGTCACAGATCTTATTCTTGATTCATTTCTTCACCAAAGATATAGATAGAAATGATCATCAAACATTAGCAGAACAAAACGAGAGAGTCGTCATCATCATCATCATCATCATCCATCACTGGACGTTGAATTTCTTCTTGGCGAACTCGACGAACTCGTCGACGGTGGGCATGTACGGCTTGACGGCGTCGTGGCCGCAAAACCTCTCCGACCACCGGACAAGACTGGGGGTACTGTCTTCGCGGAGGAACTGGACGCCGGAAAACCTCTGGATGACCCAGAGGGGCCCCAGCAGGGACCCACAGGCTATGTCGACGAGCCCGATGTTGTCCCCTCCGAAAAAGTCTCCGCCTTTGCTGCATTTCTTAAACCCTTCCTCCAGAACCGCTAAACAGCTCCCCAGATTCGCCGCCGCAGCCATTCTCCCCTCGTCGTCTTTTGCTCCGGCAGTCGCCGTGATCGCTGAGAAGCACTGTAACAACGGATATTCATACATATAATATATATACATACATGTATACGATTAAACCCCGTTTGAGTTATGTTTTGCTACGGCTTTGAATCAGTCTTTCTTGTCCATAATATCGGAATCTTAAATCGGAAAATATCGTTTCCCACTGAAATTTAATTGATATAAATAGTATTAAAATGACACATAAACGTTTAGCTTCGGTCAATTAAATGACATGGTCTGTTCATTTTTTTCTTTTTTTTAGTTTTGTAAAAAAAAAACAAGTTGAATAATATTTCCTAGTTTTTCAGGTAAAAAGGTAAGAGAAGAGATTTGTTTTCTTTCAGATCTGATCTGCTTCATCTAGATCAAGAACACGATATTTGATACCTAGATCCAAACAATCTAGAATTTCGAACATCAAGACAGGTTTTTTAAAAGTATAAACATGGAAGAGCATAGAAATATACCACAAGACCGCGTGTGTACATATATATGTATATATGTTACCTGTTCGTCGATGTATTGGGCCCAGAACCGAGCGATGGATCGATCGTACGGATCAGAGGGGAGGATGGAAGGAGGAGAAGGCCAAGCCTCGTCGACGTACTGGACGATGTTGAGAGATTCGCAGACGGATCGGTCGCCATGGACGAGGACAGGAACTTTCTTGTGGATAGGGTTGTGCTTTAGGAGAAGATCGCTCTTTGCGCTCAGGACATCCTTCTCCTCGACGTAATCGTACGCTACGGACTTGAGGTGAAGAGCGG